ATCGTACTTACTCCTTATTCCCTTCCTGGCCGCCGTTGTTCCTCCCTCCTGTCCCTCTTTCCTCTCTCCTCTCTTGGGCCAGAGGGAGCGCCGAGGAAGGAGCGAGCGGGCCTGCCCAGCCACGGCGGGCCTCGGCCAAGGAGAGGTCCCAGCAGGCGCGGGTCGGAGGCACGGCCCGAGAGGGCCAGAGACGGCTCTCCTCCTCACTCCTGACTCCTCCTCCTCCTCCTCCTCCTCCTCCCTCCTCCCTCCTCCTCCTCCTCCGCCTCCTCCTCCTCCTCCTCCTCCTCCGCCGCCCTCCTCCTCCTCCTCCTCCTCCTTCCTCCTCCTCCTCCTCCTCCTCCTCATCTTCCTCTCCTCCGCTCCTCCTCTCCTCCTCCTCCTCTCGCGCCTCCGTCTACTAACTCCCTCCTCCTCCTTCTCCTCCCCCCTCCCCCTCGCTTCCTTCCTCCTCCTCCTCCTCCCCTCCTCCTCCTCCTCCTCCTCCTCCTCCTCCACCGAAGTTTGTTGGACGGGTGGCAATGGCCGGAGCCCAAGATGTGCCATTTGTGTCAGCATTTGTGGTGACTGCAGCATTGTGCACACGTCGGTCTGAAGAAGTAGACAATGAGAGCATGGAAGGAGGGCGGCGGATCAGGTGCAGTGGGTTCAGGCCCTCCCAGGAAGCAACGAGACGCAGCAGAGCAGATCGATTCTCGAAGTAGGAAGGCGCTTGAAGTGGATTGGGATCGGGGCTTCATAAAAGCATACCTACTTTCAACGACCAGCGTGTGGGAAGCCACTTGCTTCCATGCGTGCCAGGATCGGCTCAAAAGCAAGACCTGGGTCTCGACCAGGAGCATGCAGAGCCCGCGCGCAGCAGCATGGCGTTTGGAGGAGCGGGACCTGTTCACGCTCTCGATGGTGACGTGGCTTGTGCTCTCTTTGTGCGACAGATGCGCCCAAATAGGTACGTCCGCGTCCCATTATTGTCGGGGAGACGTTAGACTCGGGTACGGGGGACTCGGGTTGGCCCGATGGGGCCTCATAAGAATGACGAGGCCAAATCTGAAATTTGACGCGAGCTCCCGCTGCAGACATCCCACGAAAACTGGACCGTCAAAATCCAGGACGCGTTCGTCAAAAAAACATCGGCAAACCCGAGCTCCGGCTTACTCGGGTCTTGCGTTCCCCCGATATTGGTCGACCGCGTTGTGCCCCGCATCGCTGCGACAAAAACGTGTTACCTTGGAGCGCTGGTGACCTCCTCCTCTTCGTCCTCATCTTTTTCCTCAGTTCCCCGTTCTTCCGCCGCATCTTCCCTTTCGTCGTGGTTGTCACGGCATGGTCCTCAGGGGGCAGGACGGTCTGTCCAAACGGTTCTCTTGGGGCCAGGCCGCGGTCCAAGCGATGCTCTCCGTCGCCACTGATCGTGTCTGCTCTCCGCGTGTAGGCCCTAAGCTACCTCCTCCTCCTTTCTCCTCCTCCAACTACTCTTCCACCGCTCCTCCCTCCTCCTTACTCATCCTTCCATTATCCTCCCCCATTATCATCTTAGTCATGCTCCTCCCTCCCCTTTCTCATCCTCCTCGTCCTCCTCGTCCTCCTCCTCCTCCTCCTCTTCCTCCTCCTCCTCCTCCTCCTCCCTGCCCCTCCCTCCCTCACACGCTCCCTTCCCCCTGCCTCCCTCTCCTGACTCTCCGGCTCTCCCCTCTTCCCCCCTCCCTCCTCCTCCTCCTCCTCCTCCTCCTCCTCCTCCTCCTCCTCCTCCTCCTCCTCCTCCTCCTCCTCCTCCTCCTCCCCATCCCCCCTGCTCCTGCCCCCTTCCTCGCCCCCCCCACCCCCCCCGTCGCCGTGCCCTCCAGGGAGGTCTCCGCCGCCTCCCCACAGCAACCAGATCTGCGCCCTATGAGCCGCCCGCTTCTAAAACGGCCCCTGCGGCCTAATGGTGTGGGGGCCTCCGGCCTTCCTGGGGCCCAGGGGCGGATCAGAGAGGGGAGGGCCTGGAGGCACCGAGCGGGACCTGCTCGAGAACCCAAGCAAGCCATAAACGTACCCTGGGTGGGACATTCATCGAGGCGTGGGCGACGAACCTTCCGACTGTGCTTGCCCATCCCCCCCCCCCTCCTCCTCCTCCTCCTCCTCCTCCTCCTCCTCCTCCTCCTCCTCCTCCTCCTCCTCCTCCTCCTCCAAGCCCCCCTCCACCCGTTCCGACAGCTCGTGCCCAACCCCGCCAGCGGATCCAAGGGGGGGGAGCGATTATTGCCCCATCCAGGATATCTACCATGTCTGGTTCAGCCATCGAAAACAATCGAGACACCGATCGAGTCGACTGCACAGAAAAAAGGTTCGCCCTGACGACAGCAGCCAGTCTAGAACAGGAGCATGCTTTAGCATTGCGCCGAACGCATCGGCCGAACTGTCTATAGACGCATCCGCCCCGAGTGCGTCTAGAGACGTAGCGGCAACGAAGGTGCCCATCTACGCTTGTAGCTGAGCGCGAAAACTGGTTTCCGCGTAGGCCCCAGATACTGGTCTTTTACGGGCAGGTAGACTTCGCCCTTCGAGGGCGGGCCTCTATCGGAGCAGAGCGGGTTGAGACAACGGCCGCTCCAAATCGGATCCCAGAACCCTTCAGGGGTCCATTGGCGGCGCGCAGAAGGGGGTGGTGGGAGGGGGGAAGGCTTCTTAGAAGGAGGCTGCTTCGTAGAAAGCGGAGGCCTTACATCTATACATAATTAAGGACCGCGCCTTCTAAGAAGCAGGGGTGCTTCTAAGAATCCTTCCCCCCTCCCCCTACCCCCCTCTGCGCGTGGTCCACTGCCAAACTTCTTGCCTCGAATGGACAGCGCCCGCGGAGGCACCGCCAACGATTCCTGCTGAAAACGGGTATCGGCGACTTGGATCCGTCAGGTGATGCGAACCGGAGGAGGAGCAGGAGGAGGAGGAGGAGGAGGAGGAGGAGGAGGAGGAGGAGGACACAAAGAGGAGGAGGGGTGAGGGGGACTCGGTGGGGAGGGGGGGAACTTCGCACCACGTGCCGAAATCCTTCTGCCTAGGGTGCTGTTGCTCCCATCGCACTTGAGGACCACATCCCAGACATGATTCCGAGCACCCAGAAAGAGTGTCAAAAGAGTGTCGAAACAGTGTCGGGCGAGTGTCTCCCAGGGCCCGGCACGTGAGAGCCCTCGAGTTTCGTTCTTTTTGTTTGCTTCTGGTGCTCGGAGTTCTCTCTGGTGAGAGCAGAACCGTCAGTCCCCGGATCCAGCCAGGGGTCCCAGCGCACCCGTTTCCCGATTGGTTTCTGGTGCTCGAAATTCTTTCTGGTGAGCCAAGGCTCAAATAGGTTGGGAACATCATGAGCCTGGGGCAGGGACCCTCGGAGCAGAACCGTCGGTCCCCGCATCCAGCCAGGGGTCCCAAGCGCACCCGTTGCCCGAGCTGCGTCCAGCCGTGGCGACCAGGGCCCCCCCCCCAAAGGCCAGCCAGCGCCGTCTCGGCTCCTCCTCCTCCTCCTCCCTCCTCCCCCCTCCTCCCTCCTCCTCCCTCCTCATCCTCCTCTCCTCCTCCTCCTCCTCCTCCTCCTCCTCCTCCTCCTCCTCCTAATTATTCCTCCTCCTCCTCCTCCTCCTCGTCCTCGTCCTCTTCCTCTCCTGCCCCTCTCCCTCTCCCCCAAGGCCAGCCTCCGTGGTGGCCCTTGCCGCCACGACGGGGCGCCCTCCCCGAGTCCTGGGGCTTCGGGCCCCGCGCCCCGGGGGCGCTGGCGGCAGCCTGCCTCCCCGCTCGTTCCCGTACCCATTCGGGTCGGGCGAAAGGGGGGGATAGCAAAGGGGGGGTTCGAGAATCAGCTCACGTAGCTGATTTTCCCGGCACCTCCCGGCGCCGGAGGCGGCTATGCATCGAGGAATGGGCCCCTCGGTGAGGCCGAAACCATCTGCATGCAGCAAATTTCGTACCCCCCCCTTTCCCAATCCCCCCCTTTCGTCCGCCCCGACCCATGCCGATCGCTCGAGCAGGGACCGATCGACACGGGCTTTCCTGTAGGCCTTGAACGACATGCCCTCCGAGCAAGAAGAATGCTCAGAGTTCGGATGTAGAGCAAAGCGAACTGTGCACAGACACCGACTCTGGCCAGGACCATCCTGAGCCCAGGAGCGGCGCATACGCCCTCCTACCTTGACCAGGAAGGTATATGCACCGATCCTGGGTCAAGGATGGGCGTTGTCAGGTCAGGATCGGTGCATGTGCATAGTTCCCTTCGCCCGACAATGCAATCCTCTGTAACCCCATATGACTGGTTGGCCTGGTTGACTACAACAAGAGAGTCCCAAACATACGCGCTCTGGAAAAACAAGCGCAAACCGCAATGTTTGACTATGACATCCTGTGGTGGGCCCCATAGGCAAGTCAGGACGCTTCGCCACTGCTTGAATCAACGTCTGCGATGCATCCGCACCACATCGAGCCGCATCGGCGATGCTACTCTATCTAGAGAAACGAACTCTATACACCTACGCTTTTTCCGACCCTGCGCTGAAATTCGCACAGGAACGCGGATCCTGGTGTATACGGGATCCTGGTGTATACACTTTTCGTTGCTTCCTCGGAACATCGGGGAAACAAGTATACACCACACCACCCCGACGTCTTCCCCGACCCTCAAGCAGTCCTGGGATTGAAACACAGCCCGCCACCGGTAATGTATATGTTCCAGCTTCCGACTCCAACCACACTTACTCGGAACCCCTCTCCTTCTTTGGACGCCCGAAATGGGTACGGCTAGAATGGGTACAATGCCCAACAGCAAATGTTGTCCCAAACCAACAGCGGCCGCTGTTGGGCGGGCGGCTCTCTGTCTCGAATGGACACATGCCGCGGCGGCGCGGACAGCGAGTCCTGCTCAAAATGCACAGGAACTGCTGTTGGACATTGTACCCATCCTTTCCGTACCCATCTCGCTCGTGCAGATCATCTGGAGCGCGGACCTCCTCGAACCCCCTCTGCGCGGACCCCACCCGTGCTCACGGCCGCTGCTGATATCCACCCGTCTGGCAAACGCCACGGTGCCCGCCGGCGCAGCTCGGGAACTGAGAGGGGTAGATCAATTCCCAGGCGGCCCCGGCGCGAATCGTGACGTTGCCAGCCCCCTCGCCCTGAGTGGGCCCCGGAAACGGCGAAAAAAAGGCCCTTGAACATGGAAACGGCGAAAAAACGGCGACCGGAAACGGCTCCAAGATTGGGGCCGGAGCGGGAACCCGTAAAAGAACGGCGACGGAACCGGTAAAACAACGGCGTCGGAACCGGCAACAAAAACGGCAAAACGGAACCGGTAAAAAAACGGCTCTGTCGTTTCCAAGGCCCACTAAGCCCTCGCCCCCCCCCTCGCCCCCCCCCCCCGTACCGCCCGTCATCACCCAAGAACAACATGGGGAAACCAAAAAGTACCCATACTGCTACTCCCCGGACCTCTCCCGGGGTGCCTTCTGACCAGCACTTCGAGGCGAACATCCAGCGGTGGCGACGAGGGCCGCCCGGGAGGCCCCAAAATAGGGGAAGACGAGGCAAGGGTAGAGGCATGGGTACCTCTTCCTCCTCCGATACACCCAGACATCCGACGTCTCGATTTTTTCGAGACGCGGGCCCCCGACCTCCCGACCACTTCCCCGGGACCGGCTTTTCACCCCGAGTCGTTTTTTGACGGTCCCGACGCCCGGCGAGGGCCCCGAGGGGCTAAAACCTATGACAAACCTCTGCCTCGATTTTGTCGAGACGCCCGATGTCTGGGCAGATCGCTCTCCTGGGAGGCCAGACTTCCGATCACGCGTGTCCCCGGCCAGCCACTCTGAGGCGGCCGGCCCGGCACCCTCGAGGCGGGCCCCCCCCCAGCGCGCGCGCGCGGGCGTCCTGCAGCAGGGCCCGGTCGTTCCGCAGCTCTGGCGCCGCCGCGAGGAGCGCCTGCGGCGTCGCTGCGCGCAAGAAGCGCCACAGAAACAGCACGGGCATCGGCAGAGGCAGCGAGCATCACCACCCTCTCAACCTCTCAGCCTCTCATCCTCATCCTCCTCCTCCTCCTCATCATCATCATCACCACAACCACCACCACCACCACCACCACCATCACCATCACCATCACCACCACCATCATCATCATCATCATCATCATCATCATCATCATCATCATCATCATCATCATCATCATCATCATCATCATCATCGTCATCACCATCAGCAGCAGCAGCAGCAGTATCGTCATCATCAGCATCATAATCATAATCATCATCATCATCATCATCATCATCATCATCATCATCATCATCATCATCATCATCATCATCATCATCATCATCAGCATCATCGTCGTCGTCGTCGTCGTCGTCGTCGTCGTCGTCGTCGTCGTCGTCGTCAACATCAACATCAACATCAACATCAACATCAACATCAGCAGCAGTATCGTCATCGTCATCAGCATCATCTTCATGAATAAAAAACGTCCACACCACACCACCATCAACATCAACATCCTCCTCCTCATCACCATCATCATCAGCATCATCACCATCAGCATAATCATAATCGTCATCGTCATCGTTATCGTCATCATCATCATCATCAGCAGCAGCAGCAGCACAATGATTAGCAGTATCAGCATTATCATCGCCATCATGGTGATCATCACCATCATCATCATCATCATCATCATCATCATCATCACTATCATCAGCATCATCATCCACCCACCCCCAGAGACAATGGCTCGATGCCCCGCGCTCCCGCCAGCCCTTCCCCGCCGGCGCCCGGTAGCAGTCGTATGCGGCACCTCGGGGCGGGAGGAGGTTGGGGAGGAGAGCACGAGGTCGAGGGAAGCAGGAGAAGGATGCCCAGGAGGAGGAGGAGGAGGAGGAGGAGGAGGAGGAGGAGGAGGAGCAAGGAGAAGGGCAAGAGGAGGAAGAGGAGGGAAGCAGGAGGAGGAGGACGGAATCAGGACGAGGAGAAAAGAATGGGGAGGGAAAGAGGATTGAAGGAGGAGGGGGGAAGGAGGGGGAGGAGGAGGAGGAGGAAGAGGAGGAGGAGGAGGAGGAGGAGGAGGAGGAGGAGGAGAAGGGAATCGGAATGGGTGAGGAGGAGGATGACGACGATGAGGACGAGGAGGCTCGGAGGGGAGCTCGAAGCGGGAGGAGGGAAGGAGGAGGACGACGACCAGGAAACGAAGGCAGGCAACCCCCCGAGAGGCCCAGCGCGCCCAGGAGGACGAGCGGAGGCCCTCCCCGTCCCTCCTCCCTCGGAGAAGAGCGGGGGCCTCCCGCCCCGCGGCGCCGAGGGGGGGCAGGGTCTGGTCGACGAGGGACTCCACCCTCGCGGCCCAACGCTCGGGTGCTGCCAGAAGCGCCCCTGGGCCCTGGGCGGTGCCCCCAGGATTTCCAGGGAGGCCCCCGCGGCCTCCTGAGCACCCCGCACGAGGCCCAGAGGGCCCCGGGGGCTCCAGAATGGAGCGAAAAGCTGGGGGGCACCTTGAGCCAGGGGTACCACCTCTAGCACCCCCCGAAACGCCTGCCACAGCTCGGAGGTTCATTCCCGTTGCTGCATGTTTCGGCTTCGTGAGCTTTTGCTTGTGTTTCGTAAGATGATCCAGGATGCTCCTCGATGGTCGGTCGAGAAACATGCACACGTCCGACCGATGCCAAGCCAACCTCGCGGCCCAACACGGGGAATGGCTGCTGGCCACGATGCTGGAGTGCTTCGTGTGACGCACCCTGGGTTGCCACGCCCCTGGATAGAGGAGAAGCAGCGGCAGCAAGAGGCGCAAGAGGAACGGGGCGGGGGGGAAGGGGCAGCGGCGCTGATGTCTGTCCTCGCTCGGCAGCGTCATGGGGGCCCCTGCTCCTCCCGACGCGACTGTCCTGGCACCCTTGTCTGCGACAGGTCGAGCGGTGGCTGACCAGTTGTGGCTCGGCGCGCCCGTGCGCCGTGCGCCAGGAGGAAAAGAAACACACAGACACAATTAATCCTCGATTCCCCAGAAAATATGGGAGAATATGGGAAGTGGGGGGGAAGACAGAAACCCAGGAAATATGGGAACACATGGGGAATCTTTTTATTTGTGTGTATTTACCTGTGTGTCCTGGGGCCCCTTCAACGCACCAGGGGCAGGTGGCCCCCGAGTGCTGCCGGCCTGCCAGTCGAGCCGAAGCTGAGGTGCCGGACACGCTCCCGACGAGAAGTCTGGCACGACCGCAAGAACAACAAGCACAACGCGTCTGCAGTGGAAGGTGACCGTTTTCTCATCTATTGCCGTGCCGATCGGCGAAGCGCCGCCCTAGTAATAGATATGGCTGAGCAGCCCTCCCCCATCTTCAGGTCCCCCCCCTCCGCCCAATGCCGAAACGCCGGCAAAGAAAACGTTGGCAAGGGTGTATTCGAGACCTCACTTCAGGTCGGGTATGTCCTCCTACAGGCGGATCTGGGACGGAAAATTATAAATGGTCCAGCATGCCTCAAAAATGGTTCAACAAAACTCCAAGAAAACTAGTCTTGGAATATCTTTGGCTATTTCTGAATATCCTCCCGTAGAGGGACACACCCGACTGAAGCCTCACTTCAGAGAGCGCTGAGATCCGCCACCGCGACCCCACGGCACACAGAGTTGTGGCAGAGTGCCGGGTGCCGTCTGCCAGGGCCTGTGTCGGTGAGTCTTCTTGGGGCCCCTCCCCGGGCCCCTTAGTGCCACGCACTGGGACACGCACCCCCCATACACTCGGACGCCGCCGACGAACAAAGGCCAGCACCGGGTGCAGACGACGAAAAGCCGCCAGCTCCCCCGCCGAGGAGCGAGGGGGGATCCACAGTGCGTGTAGAGGCCTCCTAGATGGGGTCGGAGCAGATGCGGTCGGTGGATCGCGCGGCACCGGCGATACATCGGCGATGCATCGGCGATGCATCGGCGCTGCACCGGCGATGCACTGGCGATGCATCGGCGACGTCGGCGATGCGTCGGCGACGTCCGAGTGAGGCAAATCGGGCTCCACATCGAGCCGCATCGGCGAGGCATCGCATCGGCGATGCGGTGCGACCCTCCGACCCCATCTGCTCCGACCCCGCCTCGGAGGCCTAGAGCGTGGGAAGGCGAGGATCGCTCCCGACACGGGGGCGCGGCAGGGGCACGAGAAACGCGGGCAGCTCGACCCCCTCTTGGGTGGTCAACCCGACGAAGTCTTCCCGGCCTCCCCGGAAGACGCGGGGAACTTCTCAGATGGCGCGAGGGCTTCTGAGAAGCCCCACCGCCTTCGGAGAAGGCCTTCTGCTTCTCACTCCCCCCCTTCGCTCGCCGCCGATTTTGGTTTGGGGGTCATGACTCGGGTATGCTGCGGGCGTTCGGGACGATCCGGACACCCACGAAACGCCCGCGGCGAGGCGCAGCTGCTGGCAAGCACCCCGAGGCTGGAGAACCGCCGAGAACCGACGAAAACGCCCGAACGCCTCGAACCTCGAGTCCGACCCCCCCCCGGGCTCGCCGCCGATGGGAAGGAACACGGAAAGACGACACCATCACCAGCAGGGCGAGGAGGTGCGAGGAGGCGAGGGGGGTCTCCCTGATGGTGTGGTCCCCCCTCTCGCTCGAGACATCCCCAGCATTCAGCTCGGGGAGGCATCGTGGACCTCCTCGCTGGAGGAGGGCCCCCTGGTGGTCTTGGTGTCGCGTCTCCCCCCGCGCTCGCCGCCGAAGGGGTCGACGAGGCGCACGAGGAGGACGAGGAAGGGGCACGAGGAGGACGAGGAGGAGTCGACGAGGAGGACGAGGAGGACGAGGAGACGTCGACGAGGAGGACGAGGAGGAGTCGACGAGGAGGACGAGGCGCGCGAAGAGGACGAGGAGGACGAGGAAGGGGCACGAGGGGCCGAAGGAGTCGACGAGGCGCACGAGGAGGACGAGGAGGAGTCGACGAGGCGCACGAGGAGGACGAGGAGGCGGCGACCCCACGGGGCAGCCGCCCGTGCCCCCCCGCGCCGCGCGGAGCTGCCCGCCACTCTGGCAGTGCCCCTCGCCCTCGCCCGAGAAGCAGGGGCTCCGTCGGCGGCCCCCCTGGAGCCTCCACGGCGGCGCCCCTCGCGAGGCCCTCCTTTTTTTTGAGCTCTTGCCCCGGGGTGCGATAGAGAGGTTATTTCTACGGAGAAGGAATAGAGGAGGAGGAGGAGGAGGAGGAGGAGGAGGAGGAGGAGGAGGAGGAGGAGGAGGAGGATGGGAGGAGGAGGAGGAGGAAGAGGAGGGGGATGGAGGAGGAGGAGGATGAGGGGAGGAGGAGGAGGAGGAGGAGGAGGAGGAGAGGCCGCACGCGTTTAGGGCTTCGGCGGCCCCCGGCGGCCCTGCAGGCCTCAGAAGAGAACCGCTACTGTGGAACACGAGCGCATGGGGGGGGGAACCGAGGAGGAGAAGGCCTTCTTCGACGGCGGCGGGGACTCCTCACGAGCCCTCGCGCCTTCTGAGGAGGGCTTGTCTGTCTGCGGGGAAGGCTCAGGGGACTCCTCGGGAGGCCGGGGCATTTCCGAACCTTGCGAGGAGGCTTTCTCCTTCTCACTTCCCCCCCTCGCCCGGCCGCCAAGATGGCCCGGCATTGCCCGCCGGCGCAAGAGGCAGACGGGCAGTTCTTAGGAAGCCCCGAACATTCTCCAGAGAGGCCCCCAAGACGAGCTTGCAAGATACCCGTTCGTTGGCCAGAAGGCCCCGATCGGAACCGCAACCCCCCTCTAAACAACCCGGGCCAGGAAAATCACAAAATTTGGAATCTGTTGAATGTCCTGCGCATCTCGGCCCAGGATGATTCCAAGCGGCCCAGGGCTGACCTTGACGCCTGGGGACTGAGAAGTGGGTAGCGTGTCGCGCCCAAGCGTTGTGGACCAGAGCCAGCGGATCGACACGCTATCCAGCAGTTCCCCACCGAACGTTCGAGGGCAGCGCGACAGCGAATTGGGCACCTCACCCCCGCCTTATCTCCTCCCCCTCCTCCTTCATCCTCCTCCTCCTCGTCGTCCTCCTCCTCCTCTTCCTCCTCTTCCTCCTCCTCCTCATCATCCTCTTCCCCCCCCGCCAGGGGCTTAGCGGAAAGGAAATGAGAAACAACGCTGAAACTTTGCGCGGAATTCCTGGGTCGGCGCTGGGCCGAATTCGGTCATGCGCCGACCCGTGAGATCCGCGCGGACCTCCGGAATCTCGTGGTCACACGCTGTTTATGTTATTCGATGTCCCATCCCTCTTCGTCCTTCTCCTCCCTCCCTCCCCTCGTCGTCACACCCTCTCTGTCTCCCTCCTTCCTCCTCGCTCCCTCCCTCCTTCCTCCCTCCTCCCTCCTCCCTCTCCTCTTCCCTCCTCCTCCCTCCCTCCTCCCTCATCCTCCCTCCTGCCCTCCTCCTCCCTCCTCCTCCATCCTTCCTCCCTCCTCCTCTCCCCTCTCCCTCCCCCTCTTCCTCCCCGCCTCCCTTCCTCCCTCTCGTTGTCACACGTCGTCCTGCTACTCCCTCCCTCCTCTCCTCCCTGTCCGTCCCCTCATGGGAGCCGCGCGTGTAGACACTACGGTATCAGGACCCAGTCCGTGGGGTTCCGCAGAAACACTGCGGGACAAAGCTTAGTGTATACTTGTCTGGCCGGCTCCCCCGGCGACAGGTGCTGAAACGAGTCGATCTCCACCGTGTTTTGGGGCCGCCGCCTGCCACCGGAGTGGTGGACAAACACAAAACGTAGCACCGTGGACATCTTCCTGGCCCCGGCCTTGCCCTTCCCCCCCCGCCCCGGTCCAGGCCGAACGGGGGCCGGGAGGGAGGGCGCGCGGCCCGGAGCGGGGGGCGGCCCGGCGCCTTTGCTGGCCCTGATGGCCTCCAGCGCCAGGCCCGCGACCAGCTCCTCCGCTCCCCGCCCTGGCCGCCACGAGAGCCGCCCCGCGCGCGGCGTGCTGGTGGGGGCGGGGGGGCCTTGCCAACGATGTGCCAAAAACGGCCTCGGGGGCGGGGGCGGGCCGAGGGCCTCGAGTCCACCTCCACTTTGCCAGTCCAGTCCTCAACGGCCCCTCGGAACGCACGGGCGCCCGCGCTCCAAAAAGGCCAGCGCTTCCGTGCGAGACACGGCGACCCACCTCTCCTGGCAGTCCCCTGCCCCCAATACGGGTGCCGACCATCGAGCAATCTTTTTCCTCTTCGAGCCGAGGGTGGGGGATGGGGGGGGGATGATCGGAGAAGGAGCTGGATGAGCTGGGAAAAGGGCAGCAGGAGAAGCGGGAGAGATCCTCTTCCTCCTCCTCCTCCTCCTCCTCCTCCTCCTCCTCCTCCTCCCTCTCCCCCTTTTCCTCCTTCTCCTCCTCCTCCTCCTCCTCCTCCTCCTCCTCCTCCTCCTCCTCCTCCTACTCATCCTGCTCCTCCTCCTCCTCCTCCTCCTCCTCCTCCTCCTCCTCGTCCTCGTCCTCCCCCTCCTCCTCCTCCTCCTCCTCCTCCTCCTCCTCCTCCTCCTAGAAGGGGAGAGAGAGAGAGAGAGAGAGAGAGCGATAGAAACAAACAACAAAAAACAAATAGGGTCGCTGGCCAACAATGGCATGGCAGACAAGGCGAACGACAAAACAAACCAGAGGGGTCATATCGATCATGTCCGACGTGTTAGGATGCAACACCATGTTCTTTGACATGCCTGCAAGACCCTTGTTACATATGACTACGGTGCTGGCACGTGCATGCGCGGATCACCGATTTATGCATTTACATGGAGCAAGCAATGCTATGTGTTTCGTATGGGTTTGATGACTTCGACCTTGACCTTGACGGTACCCCATCGAATGCTGGGGGGATTCGTTGTCTATCCTGCCAACTGGATGGTACAACAGTGTGCCGGTCTGCGAGGGATTTCCGCAAGCGCGCGTGGGGACGTGCGCGTGTGGGTCGCATGGCCTCACCTGACAGGAACCCAGGATACTGTGTTTGTTCTGCTTGTCGCACCTGCACGTGCTGAGGCAACCTATCCGAGTGAGGGGGTCGAACGGTAACTCGTTGTCCCTGGGCGCGTGGCTGACGCTGGGCTCCGCGGTGCGGATTGTCGATGCGTTGCGGTTGCATTGTTATTGTTGATGATGTTGTTGTTGGTTTCTCATTTGAAACGAATATGCGTTGTTGAGCTACCCGCTGGTAACCATGTCCCCTCGGGGCTCGCACATTTTTCCAAATCAGGGGAAACTCGAAAGTTCGGTGTCGCCAGACTGCATTGCTGGGCTCCGAACTACAACAACAATCTCCCGCCGAACACTTCCTCACAATGTATACCAAAATCGAGCTCTCGCGCAGGATGTCCTCACAATGTATGCACGAAACGCGACGTCGCGTGAGACTTGCTCGCAACTTATTCAGACGCCGCCCACGACACTCAGGAATCACGCTCTCGCTTCGGCCCCTCTGACGATTTATTTGTGCATCGCGCTATCGCTCGAGCTCTCCTCGCGATTCAGCCAGTACTCACGATTCGGCAACACGCCTTCTCGACCTGGCCGTTTGGGCCCGCCTTCCCGACGCGCCTGTTAGGGTTTACCCGCCCGATGGGCCCATCTGGTTCGGCCGCGCGCTTTATGTTCCTAGCCCCTCTCCTGCGAATCCCGTGCTCCATCATTTTCCCTCTCCCGTCCATCCGTCCTCTCTTCCTCTGTTTCAGGAGCTGCATCAAGTAATCGCGGCAGGTAAGAATATGCGCCAAGGGGTGCACGATCGAATACGGGGAGGGCGGGTACCGAGGGTTTGGAATCTACAAGTTGAGAGGTACACGAGAAGGTAAGCACGACATCTCTTAAACTGATTGATGCTGTGGCTGTTGCTGGTAATGTTAATGTTACTATTGTTGTTAAGGGTGGTGTTGGTGTTTTTTTCGAATTCGCATTTCCAACACTTTTGTATTGCTCAACCCTCCCGTGCCCAAGATGGGGTTTCAATGGGCGTGTCATTCCCGGGGTTCGCACCCGGATTTTTTTATCATCACAACCAAAGTGTTTTTTCTTGTTCCCCACATCCACAATGGGATTATTGTTTTCTGTGCCCCCACCGCAAATTATTTCGTGACCCCCGTGCTTTCCACCATCACCCCACATCATCATCATCATCATCATCATCATCATCATCATCATCATCATCATCATCATCATCGTCATCATCATCATCATCATCATCATCACCACCATCATCATCACCACCATCATCATCACCATCGTCCGCACCATCATCAGCATCCTCATCCGCACCATCATCAACCATCAGTATCACCACCCCACCCGCCACCACCACACCACCATCGCCGATCGCTACTAGCGCCACCGCTTTCCCAATAGAACCGCCGTCATCGCACACACACGCACGCGCATACACACACACACACACGCACGCACACACACACACACACACACACACAAACAAACAAACAAACAAACAAACAAACACACACACCACACACACCACACACACACACTCATCCCAAGACGTCGCAGGCGTGAAACTCGTAGGCGATTGATTTGCGATGAAAGCTATGGCGGGAAACCCCTTCCTATGGGGTCCGCATCCCACCCTACGAAACCAAGCAAGTCATCGGAAAAACTTGCAACTGTCACCATTTCTGGGTTCATCTGTCCGAAGTACGGCGAAGTTCTGAAGCGGAGGCGCCGTCGGTGAGCGAAACGAGAAGCGGGAACCTCCTCCTTATGCGGCCCGTAGCTCGTATTACGACTCCGAACGGGTCATCGTGATCAGTTCTGGGCTACTCAACCCTGGATACGGCGGAAGACACGGTCGGGAACTTTCGTCTGTGAGTGAAATGCAAGGACGTCGCGGGCGGGATCCCCCTCCGTATGGACCCACAACTCACGGTACTACTCCGAGCTGGTCGAGTCCTGTAATTGTCGTCAGTTCTTGGCACCTCAATCCTAAATGTGGAAGTAACCTGGAGCGGGAGCCTCGTCTGTGATAGAATGGCAAGGCACCCTTACGCGGGACCCCCCTCCCTATGGGACCCGCAGCTCACGCGACGGATCCGGAAGGTCCGTCCGACACTTGCGACTGTCACCGCGAGTTCTTAAGGAAAATCCCACGCGGGAGGCCCTTCTCTAAGGGATGTGCAGCTCATTTTGCTTCTCTGAACGGCCCATCGGATTTCAGTAGTTGTCGTCACTTCTGGCCAAAGCTTGAGTAGGGAGGAACCCTCTGACAGGAGTTTCGTTTGTGATCGACTGGCGAGGGAATATCAAGTGGGAGCACCCCTCCATATGGAATTTGCCGCTCACGTTGCCAATCCGGGCCGGTTTCTCGGAACCCATAACCGTCGTCGTTGCTTGCCTCTTCAAGCTTGAATCCAGCGGAAGTCACGCGCGGGAGCCTCGTTTGTGAGCGCATGGCGAAAACACGCCTGCAGAATATGCTCATCCTGCGGCCGCCCGCGCGAAAGTTCTTGGAACGCGGGCCGCCGTCCCGTTCTGCGGAAAGCGCCTGAGTACGAACAAAAAACGGGGATCTCCGCGGCTGAGGTGGAGCAGCTCGCGGCCAGAGCTGAGTTTCGCGGTGCCTCCCGCCTGAACGCGTCGGCGACTTCTTCGAGACCCGCGGGCTTGTCCCAACGGCTTGCTTCCGAACCCTGGCAGCTCGTGGGGCTGTCCCGCCGGCCTGGCCCAAGGGGTTGTCCCAGCGGCGTCGCGATCTGGTCATCGGAAAGCACGCCTGAGCCGGCCGTGGCGGCAGCGGCGCACGGAAGCATCAATCTGCGCGCCCCTGCCAAAGGGGGCGAGGGGGGGAAGTGGATGAGAAGATGCAGAAGGACGAGGAGGAGGAGGCAGAGCATGGGGGCGGGAAGGAGGCCGCCGCGAGGGCGAAAAGGAGAAGGGCGATGAGGAGACGGGACACGAGCCTCCGCATTCACAGGGACGACGATAAGGTTCATTTTCAGACTGGCTTCGGAGTTTGTCATCTGGTGTTCTACCTCCAGAAGAATGGTATTTGCACGCCCCCCTGCGACAGATCCCCTCTGAGCCCCATCCAGTCCACCGCCGCACACACGCACACCCACTCACTCACGCGCTTACACACTCGGACTCCCATCTTCATCACCATCACGATCATCATCATCATCAACATCATCATCATCATGATCAACACGTACACCCAACCTCATTCATGTGTACAACTGCTCATCAACAGCTCCTTCGTTCAACATCATGCCATGCGCATAACCATCATCCTCAGCTGTCTTGCCACAGCCGCCACCATCAACAAACTCATCCTCTTTCTCTATCTCACACACGCACACACAACAACACCACACACTCACACACACACGCACACACTCTCATACACACACACGCACTGTCTTTCACACACACGTATCATGACCTATATTGTGATCCCATTTGGATCACCGATCATCATGTCACCACCATCAAGAATTCTAGAGCGGGAACCTCGTCCGTGAGTGAGTTGCGAGGACGTCTCAAGCGGGAGTCCCCGTTTCGATGGGGCCCGCAGCTCAAAATACTAGTCCGAATGGGACATCGGAATCCTGTAGCTAACTGTCCTCGCGTGTGGCCTCTTCAAGCTGATGGAGGTGGTCTCGATGCGGGACGGGAAAATGACCACAATCACTGCTTCTTGTTTGCGCCGCCTTACAGCCGGCTTAAAAAAGAAACAGTGGTTGTGGTCATTTCCCTGGTGCCAAGCTTAACGAAAATTGCCACAACCACTGCTTTGTGTCTGCTGGCTGGAAGGCGGTAGGAAAAGAAAAGCAGTGGCTGAGGTCGTTTTCGCGTCCCGTATTCGAGCGCGTTACGAAGCCAAGCGGGCCACTGGAGCCCAGAATCTGTCGTCAGTGCTGAATTCCTGAAGCTTGAACGTGGCGGAATT